ACTGCAAGACAATTGTGTATTCTCTCAAGCCATGCAAGTGCCGGGCCCCACCTAGTCTCTCGGAGAAGGGCGGCAGTAGGGGTTGTACAGTAGACAGGGAGAACTGCACGAGCGGCATTGTTTATTCTACGTTAGATACGTGTGATGATATCTTTTGGTGTTGACTTTGAGTACCATGTTTCAGCTCCATAGAAAAGCGCGGCAAATGCTACTCCTTGCAGAGCCTGTTAAAAGGTGTGGATTTATGCCTCGGGTGGTACATGAAATCCGTTTCAAGTGACCAGTTATGCTAAGAGCCTTTCTACAGGCCTAACTAACATGGTACCTGAAACGCAAGTTTCGATCAAAATAAACTCCGAGCCACCTGGTGTGATTGTTAGGCCTGATCTCGAGGCCATTAATGTAAAGACTTGGTTCTGCTGGCATTCCATATTTACGGTAGAAGTACTGTAGCTCGGTTTTGAAAATCTCAAAAGATATGCTGTTCCTATATCCCCAAGTAAGCATTTGGTCCAATTGATTCAGGAGAAGTTTTGCGCAAGAGGAAAGGTCTGGTGCAGATGCACAATACGCAATGTTGTCAGCGTAGCCGGATCGGCCACATGACAGATTGAGAGCTCCTTCTATAGCCAGAAGGAAGAGAATTTGTGATATAGGGGACCCCTGTGGAAGGTTGCAGTGGATTTGAAAACTTGGCAATTTAATGCTGTCCAAAGATAAGGTGGCCTCGCGTTGTTCCATGAAAGAGATTACCCAGAGTATGATATTAGGTGGCCAACCTTGGCTACGTAGGCGGTAAGAGAGGCGTCCTTTTTGGATTCCATCAAAGGCACCTTTTATGTCCACGGTAACAACACCTGCGACCTTCTTTTCGGCCCATGCCATTTGAATTTGCTGGCCAACGCTGTTGTGAGATCTGTCGCCGCGCGGTGGGGCACTGCACTACATCGATCCTGAGAGAGAATGCGGTGCTTGAGGGCGAGGTAGGAGAGTCTTCGGGCAATTAGCCTTTCTAATCCTTTTCCTAGGCAAGAAAGAAGTGCGATTGGCCTATATGATTTGGGTAGGGAGAAATGGCGGTTCCCCATCTTTGGTAAAATAATTTTGTTGGTCTTTTTGAAGATAGGTGGGTGAAGTCCGGACTGGATACATTGACTAAAAAGGGCTGTGATACGATAGCCTATTACAGTCCACGCTTTCTTGAGGGAACCTGTTGTGATTTCATCTATTCCGGGTGCCGAGCAGTTACTTGACAGCATGAGCGACATATTTCCTCGTCTGTGAGTGAGGGCCAGTAGATGATTTTTCTGGGCACAGTGGTTACATCTAGAGGGAGATCATTATGGTCTAGATGTCAACTTAGGAGCGTGTCTGTGGGGAGCTGCGATTTTGCTTGAGTTGTAATTGCAGGCCGACTTGTTCCGACAAGGGGGGGGTCCTGGAACAGAGATTATTTTTTGTACCACCTATTGACCTGATAAGTCTCAGTTATATTGGATATCTTCTCTATCTTTTGACGCCAGTACTCTTGTTTGGCTCTCCTAACAGTGTTGCCAAAGCCCCGACGTTCCTCTGTGGCGTTTGAGCCAAGACATCTGGCGTGGCAAAAATTTCGATGAGCTTCAGCGCATTTGGCATTCCACCATGGGGTACTCCTTGAATTTTCCCGTGATCTAGGGCAGGCTGCTTGTAGCACACCAGATAATGCATCAAGAAGGAAAGACGCTTCCTCACTTAGGTTTGCTGAGGGCGGGGTTATGAGTTGGTCAGCAAGGTTTCTCCGGAAAGCTACCCAGTTTCAGGCAGCGTATTGAAGCCTGCCAATGGCGGGAGTATCAGGGCCATCATCGGCAGGCTTGCGTTACAAGAGTTCTATGGTCTGCGCCAGCATCGAGATCTCGGTGGATTTTGCGAGAGGGGTGTCACGGATCAAGGAACAGGCGCTGGTGCAACTATGTGGTTGATAGTATATAAATTATCATTCTGAAGAGAAAACTACTTCAGTCTCTATCTATACTTATATATACATTGTCTATGTGGTTGAGGCACAGTCCCTCCCTCTCGGTTCCAATGGGATTCTTCACATGTGTTGTAGCTGTATGGTCCAATACTGCTGCCCTGCCGAACTAGATGCCGATGCCTTGATATTCTGTTGAGTGGCATCATATATCCACACATTGATGTCGATCAATCGTGCGCTACCAATATCAGGCTAGGCTCATGTTGGCCAACATGCGCTACAGGAACCAATCGGCTTACCTGCCGTTACAAGGGGTGAGACCTGGATTGTACAAAGCAGAGATCCAGTACTCCTCCTGCGTCATGTGTCAGGATTCCATACGGGTTCAGAAGAGACAGGCCTTTATTGAAAGACCAGACCAGTAGGGAGTCTCCATGGGCCCAATCTTGCCTGGCTGCCGGATCCCAGGTTGAATGGTGTATATTAAAATCCCCCTCAAGGATGTTGGGGCTTTCAGTTATTGTGAAGAGAACCCTTAGGCCTTCCCCTGCATTAGAGGAGCGTGCTGGGGCGTTGTATATATTCCAACAATCAACCATGCGCCTCCCTCGACGGTGAATATAAACACAAATTAGATCGCGCAAATAGGATTTTGGCATAAAGGGAGAGAGGCTGCGACCTTTCCAAACGTACGCCATAACTCGAAGCTGGGCTGTCCATTCGGCGATAGGAGAAAAAGTTTGGAATCCCGGGTGGTTTTTTGTGATCTTATGGGAGAAGTCCGAGAAGATCCAAGGCTCTTGGATAAGGATCATATGGGCTCCTGATCGGGAAGCGAGAGCAAGTGCAGAGTCGTGTGCTGGGCCAGATTTGCCGACATTGACCTGAAATATGCAGAGACCAGAGGCTGTCTCATTTTTAAATCATCGGCCGCGGACCATTAAAGTTGTATTTTTGTGGTGGAAGTTCAAGGCTGCGCTGGAACTTCCTGTGTTGAAGTGGTTTTGCTCCTGCAATACTCCATTTCGAGGTCGGAAGTTGGTACAGCACTTTGATTTTCAGGAACTTGAGGCATTAGAAGGAGGTTTTTGTCCTGCCACAGCTATACTGGGGATCCTGGCTAGCGCATCCAAGCTAAGGTCATCATGTGGGATCACATGATGACAAATCAACTTTTACGTCTTAGATAAACCGACAATATATATATATATATTATTTATCATCCTGATTTGGCGCCTTGAGGCCCATTCAGGTTTTATCAGAAGATATGTACTTTAATAGGATGACTCAATTTAACTTTTAGAACACTCACACTCAGATTCCATTTGCAGATACCACTCGAGGTTAACCCTTACAGCGTATAACCTCTTCCGTGCATACCCACCACAGGGAAAGGCGTGAAAAACCTGCGGCTATACAAGCGTGCTTTCATCATCCCACAAGTACAACATCACCACGAGAGAGAGTGGTGTGTGGGTCTGACTGGATTCGAACCAGCTTTCTCCTGTCTCGATTGGGGTAGGTGTTCAAGCTACCTAGTATCTACATAGGAGAACGGCTCGGATGACGTACCACTGCACCATCCAACCCTCCTAACCGTAAAAGTTACGTCTGTCGCGCACATCTTTCGATTATTTTCATATAATTTGAAAACAACTCGCAAGCCTACTACTACCGGCTTCGCCCGGATTTTCACACATCGACGGAGATAAATCCCAATGCTCAGCCAAATGACCGGCGCTGCCTCCAAACGACTCAAAACGGCCCCCATCACTATCGGAACCCACAATGGCTGTTTCCATGCCGATGAAGCCTTAGCCGTCTATATGCTCAGGCTCCTACCTGCTTATCGGAACTCACAGCTGGTGCGAACGCGTGATTCTGAACTTCTTGATACATGTCACACTGTAGTCGACGTGGGCGGTCAATACGATGCCACTATCCATCGTTTCGACCATCACCAGCGAACTTTCACCACGACTTTTCCCAATCGTATGACTAAACTTTCGTCTGCTGGCCTTGTTTACATGCATCATGGTAAGGCCATTATTGCTCAAAACCTAGGCGTTGGCGAAGATACTGCCGAAGTATTAACCATCTGGGAGAAAATCTATGAAAATTTTATCGAAGCAGTAGACGCACATGACAATGGAATCTCGGAGTTTGACCCGGCTGAAATTTCTGCCGCTGGAATTAAGAAGAGATATAGGAGCGATAACTTTACATTAGGAGCTATGGTAGGGCGACTAAATCCTAGGTGGAACGATGTCGTGCCTGAGGATCCAGTCGAAGCTCAAAAGATGGAGGATGAGAGGTTTTGTCTAGCGAGCGAGAAAATAGGAGAAGAGTTTCTACGAGGTCTTGATTATTTCACCAAGTCCTGGCTTCCGGCTCGAGAGATTGTACATGAAGCTTACAGGAAACGTCTCGAGTGTGACCCCCAAGGAAGAGTCATCATCTTTCACGGAAACTCACCTCCATGGAAGGACCATTTATACACCTTAGAACAAGGAGAGAATGCCGCCAATCCCAAGGTCTTGTACGTGCTGTACCCGGAAAATACAACCGTCAATTCTCGTTGGAGGATTCAGTGTGTACCTGAGGCGGAGGGTTCGTTTCAGAGTAGGAAGCCCCTTCCAGAAGCCTGGAGAGGAATGAGAGATGAGAAGCTAGATGAGATCACTGGCATTGACGGTGGGATTTTCGTGCACGCTGCTGGGTTTATTGGTGGAAACAAGACAATCGAGGGCGCTAAAGCAATGACAATGAAAGCTTTAGAAATGTGTTAAGTGTAAATCTTCGAGGATGACGTTATAGAGATAGCAAAGCATTTTTAAAATATATTGCAATTTACGTCTCAAATGCTCCATAATGCAACATATTTGAAGTAACACTTGAACTTGACGTTCCTCACTAGCCTATTTATGACATATACATCTGAATGTTCACAACCCAAACGCCCGAGCATACACTCATCTAGAAGATTCTTGATACCTCCTTAGCAACTCCACTTGCATACCAACTTATGGCTAACTATCGACTAGCCTTGGCTAGGAAGGCTCTCAACTGATGGAACTGGTAGTGGGGTATTTTCATCTTTTGCTGGAGTTGCCTCTTTAGTCTCCGTGTCTTCTGCCTGATCAAAGTTCATTTCTCGGTTTAAGTTGCTGCTCTCCTTGATCGGACTACTGCATTGCAGGCCTGAAGTACCTGTTATGTGGTGGATGCTGGAGCTGCCGATCTGGCCCCCGCTCCCGATACTGGGAGAGGAGAGATGCGGAATATTTTCCGGAACAGGATGTTGAGACCCAACGCTGCCAGTGTCAACAGAGTCAGCCTTTCCGGCTTTGGAGAGAGCATAGTCTCCCGAGTCGAAGTATTTTCGATCTTTCATGATCTTGGCCAGGTGGTTGACTTTGGATGGAATTTTGCCATAGAGGCGGAAAAGACGTTGCTCGTCGGGAGATAGTTTCTAGCTTAGGTCAGTACAATACGACCAACAAATTATTGGGAAAGCGGCCGACTTCTAAAGGAAACTTACGCTCACATCGATCTTACTCTTTTGGTGAGGATTCATCTTTGTTGAGCTGGCCGGTAGCGAGAATGGCGTTCTGAGTGTGATTCAGGAGATGTCTTAAAGTCTGGAATAAGTGGTTGGAAATACGAAAATGGACACTGAACCGTACGTGGGGTTTGTGGGTCAGGTTAGCAGACAAAGACTGTGGTGCCGTGATGCTGTAGTACTCGATGTACTGTCGGGGGCAACAGGATATGGGGCAATGGGGATGCGGGGGCGCTTACAAGGCTAACATGTTCAAACGCCACCGTTGCCTGCACGTAATCCATCACGGGATAAGGGGCACTCCCTGCGCAGCTTCAACCTGAGATGTTACAATTAGAGTCCATTGATTTAATTGCATTCTAATTGCTTTATCGGTTTCCACATAACATCAAGGCCCTGGATGTTTCATAATCAATTTATGGAAACGAGTGACAGAGCAGCTACAAACCAACCGATTTCATGCTGATGACGGCTAGATCAACCTTCTACGAGCGCCCTGAAGGCGTGGGGTATAAGTTATAATTTTTTATTTGACGTTGTACCAGCCCACAAACGGGTACAAGATATTGGAACGGCATCATAGGTGTGGAAGATGCCGCGTGTCCGCAGACACGTGCACCGCACAGTTCTGTATTACCCTAATTACTCTTAAACGAAGGCACCCATCGAGCCGCAGATAACCGGGTCGAGAACCCCGGATTTGTGTAGAAAATTCTATTTCGGCTCTTTCTAACACCATTAGCGCCTGGCTTCTGACATTATCCCGGGGCTAACTGTGACGTGTTCACTAGCGGGTGTGGTGCTGATATTCACGGTCGCATACATGCGGGGAAAGATCAGTCTCAGGTTGATCCATACACTAGAGAAAGGGCCCAAAATAGACTAGCTATGAAAATTCGACTTGAGCACATGGGTTTGACCCGTATTTACACAGAATAAAAGAGCCCAAACTATACAGTCTGAGTTGCCCATATGATTATCAATCACGGATCCTAATACACGTCACTATCTCCTGCCCTCAATCTTCAAACGGACGAGAATCCATTTGGAGACAAACTAAGTATCGGTAGTATGAAGAAATGATAAATGACCCTGTCGATATGAAAGAATATCACAGTGGATCCTAAATCATGATTGGATAGAGCAATTCCAGATGACAAAAGCGGTCAAAATGTTGCTGAGGGACAGGAACAGGCCAACAAATTAAAGGGTTTGATAAAAAGGACATGGTTGGCTTTCATGTATGGTATTGTAGTGTAAATGGGCTTGCTGAAGGAAAAATTAGAATATTAAAAGTGACTTACAGAAAAGTTAGGAGGATTTTCACTAGAAAGTTTCTGTCTAGATCCCTCTGATTGGTTAGTTGTGTAAACCACACTTTGGCCTTGGCACGTACACAGGGTAACTCTCTGTATGTTTGTGTGCGGGTCTATTGTGCTACCTGAGTGATAGACCATCTAGCACATTGAGCTACTTCCTGGCCCAGGCCACATCTTGTACAGTGCTCTCAACTCCTTTTATTACTTCAAAGGTTATTGCTTTATTGCCTGTGATGAATAGCCATTCAGTTCATTATTTACCCGCGGAATTCAGCCACCTTTTCCACGGAACCTTCTACCCAAAAAAATATAATATAAAAAAAGGTAGCAATGGAATCTGCGTGCGCGGGATAACGGCTCCTTTAGTTGTACCAAAATAAAGGTCGTTAGAGGCATTACAGCTGAGAAGAGGCCTTGACAACGCACATTAGCTAGCATAATGTCCAAAGAATTTGTACTGCAGGCCTTTTGGTGGAAGGACTCATATTTCTTTTTAAAGTCACAGAGTTAGTGTTTGTTTTTATTTTCACTTTTGGTCCTAAGCTAACGCTATCTTTTCCACATTGGGTCAAGGACCGGTGGAGCCGGCAAGGATCACTGCGTACAGGCCCAACTCATTCCAACCGCATGAACTTCTACTGAAATTGTAGAAGTTAACAGCAAAACTAAAGTCATAAACATAAATCAAAAACTGAAATCAAATTTAGAAGAAATACTGTTTGGTCCGGATCCCGCGCTTCTCGCCCGTTCCCTTTCCCTTTCCTGCCACATCTTCGTCGTGACTTTTTCTTATCTCCGCTGAGAGCGAAAGATTAGTTCGCAGATAACCTGAATTCAGCTGGTATCCTGCTATATATTCTGAAGCTTTTTGTATACTTCATCGAGGGTTGCTGTACCCTCAAACTTCTTCTTCGGATTCCAGGATTTCGGAACCCGATCACTCGGCCATCGAGACATCCTTCGTTGAGGCCATCATTGCCTCTTCGGCCCTTTTGGCTACATCCCTAAAACGAGCCACTTTCGAAAACTCCCCTTGCTGGATCTGGCGGATCCGCGCGAGCTGCTCTTTTGTCACCGGTTCGGACTTGCTGGGTCTGGCTAAGCAGGCCCGGGAATCCGATCGGTAAGATCCCCCACAGTTTCGACACCGGGTGAGGGCCTTGCACACTGATTCTGAGTGCATATTAGATCCGCATTTCCAGCAAGCTGGAGCGCGGGAACAACCATGAGTGGCGTGAAATTCAAGACAGCGTTTGCATTTTTCGATTGTGCGACGAGGTCGGAAGAGCTTCGCAGCTCCAGAGTCGTCGAAAAGGCGGAATGCAGGTCGAGGAGCGGATTCTCGGGGAAAGAGCGCTTGCCAATTTGAATAGGGCGCCCCTGGTTTGCTAGTCCCATGAGGACGAACTAGAAAGGGAACCAACTGGGTCACTCGCGTGACTTCGTCGGCAACTATCTCTACTGTCACAGCAATGGGGCCAGGAAGTGTTCGAATTGTCTCCGGAACGGTGGCAATTTGCATGGCAACCAGATTTGATGCTGGTTTCAGGTGTATTTTTGGATCTCTCCACAGTGCGGAGGAATCTAAGAGCTCCTTTCGAGAAGCTTCGTTCTTTGCTGTAATTGCAAAGCCAGTCTTTACCCGCTGAACCAACGTAATATCATTAGCAGCGGTTCCCAGAGCCAGAGACACAGATGACCTAATACCAGCTGGGGAGAGGAGACAGTGGGGGTGGAAGTAGTCGAGGCGCAGAAAAAGTTGTGAATCGACTTTTGTCCTCGGGTTGGCACTCTTTGCTTTGGGGGCGGGCGGTGCTGCCTTTGTAGTCGACTGCCCAGCGCTGCGGGCTAGGCCTCCCCGAGCTACGGTAGCCCAAGTTGTCTTCGGGGCCGGAGCCTGGGTTGTTGGAGGATTAGGAACCCTTATTTCTAGTGCCCTCGGCGGAAGAAGGTTGGCGGGGCGAGCAGGGAGAACTGATGGTGTGCTCCCTGGGCCAGATTGTACGAACTGGCCGATGGCCGCTCGAAGATAGACTTTGATTCCGTCTACAAATTCTTTATTATCGCCAATCGAAAGAGGCGAAAGTGCTGCTTCGACACTGCTGATTGCAGTCGAGCAGATTATAAGTCGGGCGTTTATTTGCGTCGTGCGACGCTTTTCGGCCTCCATCACTGATTGCAGCTCTGGTGGAAATTCCATTGCTGATGTCGATGCTGCGCCTTTAGAGGCTGGCACAGTATTGTTTCCTGCAGATGATTCTGTACGTTCGGTTGTCTTTTCTGGAACAACTTCCTTTCGTTTTCTGGAGCTGCTTGCCACTGGGGCCAGCTCGACGGGGGTTTTGGTCTTGGGACCATTGTTTTCTGTTCTGATAGGTTCAGAATCAGTCATCTCTTGATCGGGAAGATTTGTGGACTTCCCTGGGACAAAGGCCTCACTCGCAAATAGGCTTGATAATTTTTGCGCGAGGCCAGCAGGTTTTGGACACAATGGTGTCCGTTCAAAGCCAGCTGAAGTTGTCGGCTGTGGGCGATTTTTTCTCACCGGAGGCATTTTAAATACCTCGCGACGGTTAACAATTCGAGAAGTCAAGCACAGAGGTGATCATAGGAATGGAAAATGGGAATTTTCAAATTTCTCGAATTGTGCGGGTTGTTTGTTTGTTCATTAACGTGCTAGGTGAAGTAACTACCGTCGCACTCCTACTGGAGCTTGAGCACGAGTGGGGTCGGGCCGGATCAGGTTAACTACCGTGCAGTACAATGCCTCGTCTCACCTAAATGACCGGAACCAAGGAGGGCAAGACTGAACACCTGTACGCGGTGCTCTCTACGAACCTGGGAGTGAAATATTCTCCCAGAGCCAAGTTCAGTCAAATTTCGCAATATCAAAGAAGTTGGCCCACGAGGCAAAAATTCAAATTACTACACCATGTCAATCTTTCACTCCCAAAGAGTCCGATTCTCAACTAAGCTTCATCAAGTCTACAAGTACGACCTAGTACATCCTCGTTTCAATGACCACACCTCTCGTCGACTTTCTCTGGCCTCAGCCGGTCACCAAATACACGCCCACGCCGATATTTATACCCGACGGAGGAAGCAAAGCGTGGAGCAAAATTTTGGGAGATAGCTCTTTGGGACGGACGTGAGAGGGATCAGGACAAGTTTACAAGATGATGCAGAAGAGGGATACATTCTCGACGGGCGTGAAATTTCGAATTTTGGAAAGAGTTTTACGAATTGAGCTTTGTGCGCGCCAAGACTTCGCTTGCGAGAGTGCAGCTGACACTATAAACACAAGCCAACGATGGAAGGTGTTGTGGTCCGCCTCCTGGTGGTGTTCTCTGGTATGGTTTGAGTAGCATGGGCACCTACTCCACTTGGGAAGGAGACATCTCAGATTACATTTCGCGCGGAGAAAAGTTGATGGATGACAGAGGCATGTCTGGATAACTCAGGGTTTTTGAGACGTTCCCCTGGGTGGGTATTCACGGATGAGGGTTGACCTGGGGTGAAGAAAAAGCCACCATAACTTCGCAGTGGTATTTGCAAATGAAATCTGAGGCATGAGTGCTCCTATTGTAAACTGAGTCATCTTTTCTGTACTTTTCTTTGATATTGTGTCATAGCTAGATAGCTGCATACGCAATTAAAATCTGATGCAAAAAAAAAAAAAAAAAAAAGACCGGAACC